CCGCAGCTGTGGCCCTGGGGCATCTCGCAGTGATGTCCCCTCATGTGTGCATCCCACTTCAAGTTTCACAGCTTGTTCTGGGCTGCTGGACAGCATGGCCTCCCCCAGCCCAGGTGCTGTGCAGCCGCGGAGGGCACTGTCCCCCTGAGGTGCTTGCTGAGCTGTGGCCCTTGCTGTGGGGAGGAGCAGGGTGTTCAATGAAGTCCCTCTTGCAGGGTGTGCAGAACGAGCGCTGCAGCCACATGCCCTTTAGCAGGCAGCACAGCCTGCGCAGTGCGCTGGGCCAGTGGGTGCTGGGCAGGATGCGACCCTTCTGCTTCCCCTGCAGGTGATGTTCTCCTTCGAAGCTGGCAGGCGCTGCGACTCCGGCCCAGGGAACTTCACCTTCGAGACCAAGCAGGGCAATGAGATCTTCCGCCTAGTGGAAGCCTCCATCCGGGAGCAGAAAGCGCAAGTGGAGGAGAACCGGCAAAGCTGTGACTCGCTGGATTCGGACAGCCCCAGCGTGGTGCTGATGCGCCAGGCCCTGGCTGACTCCCTGAGCCTGGAGCTGCCTGCAGAGGGGGATGACACCCTGGCACCCAAAGCAGGGCTGACACCCCGGCCCAGTGCGGCGGCAGAGGAGCGAGACACCGCGTCTCTGCTGAAGACCCGGACTCTGCCAGGGGGTGGCCCCGCTGTACTCGGACCCCATTGACAGCAAGCCCGTGAGCGGGTCCAAGGTGCCCAGCGGTGCCACGGATGAGATGAAGCTCCGGCTGCCGGCGCCGCTGTACTCGGGCACGTATGAGCAGGTCCGGGCTGAGGGACGCAGCCAGGCCCCTGCAGTGCCTGGGCAGAGGGAGCACATCTATGACGAGCCTGAGGGTCGTGCTCCCCGCTTGCTGCCCGCCCCCACCTGCATCTACGATGAAGCGCGGCCCGCGGGCGAGGCCTGGCGTACCCAGGGCCATGATGGCAGGGGCGGCTATGAGTATCCCTACAACCCCATCACTGACGACTACTCGGTACCTGCCCTCGGTCCCTGCCTCCCAGGCAAGGGCAAAGGGTCCCAAGCCGGTGCCGGCCCCCAAGCCCCCGGCGCCCTTCATCGCTAAAAGTGGCGAAAGGAGTGGGGACCCTGGCAGGCGGCGGGGGAACCCTGCTCCTGAGAAGGCGGTCATCAAACCTGGCCTCAACAGCAGCAATAACAACAACGTGGAGCTGCTGTACAGCCAGGTGGTGAAGCCCCAGCATGTCCAGAAGAAGGAGCAGTCTGTGGATGAGTGCAGCTTGTCGCCTGTCTATGAGGACTTAGGAGAGATCTAGCGTGCTGCTCTTCTGCACCGGCCCAGGAGGGACTGGGGGGCCTGGGCCCGTTCGTGAGCAGTGCCAGCTGCACTTCTGCATGGTCCCGAGGGTGGCGTGGGGCAGGGGACTCTTCTGGCTCAGGCAGAGCCCCTCTTACTCACCAGTGCTGAGGTGCTGCGCTTCCCTGGAGGCCTTTTTGACAGCGAGAGCAAGAGAGCTGTGGCTGGCGCAGATGCCAGCATGCTTTCCCCACTCTGGAGCTGGGTCCGCTGCTGCCTCCTGGTCTGCAGTGGGGCTGGCTGCGTTGCCCTGTGCCTGCTGCGTTGGCTCCAACTCTGACCGGGCCGCAGGGCTGTGTTGCTCTCTGCTTTGCCATCAATCTCCAAAGTATTTTTATACAAAATTATTTTAATATTAAAATCTCTGTGTCTTAGAATGAAATGTTTGCCTGTGGCATGTCTGGGCTGTCAGGCACACGGATGGGGAGGTGCTGGTGCAGTGCTGCAGAGTAGGGCGGCTTGGCTGAGCAGTGTTCACATGGTGGCACGTTTGTGTCTGTGCGAGAGCTGCTGAGCTGAGGAAACAGTGAAGAAAAGCACGTGCCAGATTCAGCTGTGACGAGGATGCCAGGGGATTAAAGGATATGAGAGTCAGACCTGCAGATACCTTTATGTGGTGATGGGGGCACAAGACGATGTGAAGTCCTGAAAACATGTGGGTCTGCTCCGAGTGTAAAGGTGGGCAGGGCCAGGCTCCAGCTCTGCTGCAGCTCAGTGACTGGTCAGTCACAGGATCTCTCCTTCCCCAGCCTGATCCCTCTGCTGATTTCCCCCCACTTCCAGCTGGTCTTGAAAGGCCTGGCATGGCCCAGTCTGGATACCAATGACTTTAATGGCAAAAACTGTGATCCCTGCTGTGTGATCTGAGGCCAGGGGTTTGGCTGTGATTGCTGTGTGGCCAGCCTTGGGCAGAAACCTGTGCAGGGGAAAAACAAGTTGTCTGTTTGGCGCTGGTAATGGTTTTGAGAGATTTTATGTCCTGTCTGTGTGAGGCTAGACCAGGCACCCTGGCATTGGCTGTCCCCGAGTCTGGATGGGGCTACTGACAACTTCTGCGGGTTTACACACAGCAGCAAAATGGCCAGGTGACAAGCAGCACTATGATGTACCTGTGCGGGGGACTAAGCATGACTTCTGCAGCCCCAGCTCAGAACTAGGGAGCCACAATCTGGTGGGGAAGTGTGGAGGATCAGGTTCAGGTCCCAGACTGGCCAGATGGTGACAAGGTGGTGAGCTCTGACTGGGCATTTGTTTGGTGCCCAAGCTGCAGGAGGGGAGCCTCAGTGATGCGACAACACAGCACAACTGTAGCCAGGACCAATTTGTGGCTGTTCTGTGCTGGATCTTCTTCCCCACTGGCCTTTAGCTGCAGGAGAAGGGAAGAAGCCTGAGGGGCTTTGGGAATCTGGGATGCTGAGGTGGTTCCTGCCTGAGATGAGAGGCATGAGCAGCAGGCATCTGCTGCTCATGGTTGGCTGCTGGGTGGTCCTGTGCTTGTGTTCGTGTTCAGGCGGGTCATCCCAAGAGCAGTTCTACCTGCCTGCTCCAGAGAAGAGCTCTTGGCATTACTTCAGAATCACAGAATAGTAGGGGTTGGAAGGGACCTCTGTGGGTCATCTAGTCCAACCCCCCTGCCGAAGCAGGGTCACCTACAGTAGGCTGCACAGGATCTTGTCCAGGCGGGTCTTGAATATCTCCAGAGAAGGAGACTCCACAACCTCCCTGGGCAGCCTGTTCCAGTGCTCCGTCACCCTCAGAGGGAAGAAGTTCTTCCTCATGTTCAGATGGAACTTCCTGTGCCTACTTAGTGGGGTCCTAGGCTGCCTGTCCGTAATCCTTGCTCGTGAGTCCAGTGTGAGGCTCCAAGATGTAAACAATGAGGAGCAGCTTCCCAGAAGTGGAGCCCTGGGGCTCTCCCTTCCATACGGCTGTGGGTATTTGTGCATCTCCATCGCTGCGGTCACTGTATCTCAGTGAACTGTGTCCGCTTCGTCCCATGGAGCTGAGTGTGGTGGACATGCAAAGTGGCTTTCACTAAAGAGAGTGATGGCGAGGAACGAAAATGCTCCAGCATCTGTGCCAGACCAGTGGTCCCTGCACTCCTCTTGGCTGGGAGGAAAGGTAATTAAAGTTTCTTGCTTTAGCAATGACATCATCTCTTCTAACAGCCCACTTGGGACTAAGATGTAAGTGCACAAGACAGGAGGAATGCTTCTATGTATGGCCTGCTTTATTTATGCACCCTGCCACATGACAGAGAAATGCGTGCAGCAGGGAAGGCTCTTAGTCTCTGCTGATCAGGAGAGAGTCCTGGCTCAGTGTTGCGGAACAGACCTGTTGCCTTGGTCAGACTTGTGCTCTATGCTTTACCTTACCCTTTCTGGCAGCAGTTCAGGGTGTAATAGATGCTTTGGGAAAGCATAAGAAATAAGGTAAATGCAGAGTGACCCTTTGGTTGGTCACAGCCTTCCTGTTGCCGAAGCAGAAGTCTGCAGTGAACCCCAACTTTGGGACCAGGAGATGATCTTTCTGGATTCTGCTTAGATTAGTATTTCTTCCCTCTGCCTTTGTAGAATCACAGAATGGTTTGGGTCAGAAGGGACCTTACAGACCATCCTGCCATGGGCAGGGACCCCTTCCACCAGCCCAGGCTGCTCCCAGCCCTGTCCAGCCTGGTCTTGAACCCTGCCAGGGAGGGGGCAGCCACAGCTTCTCTGGGCAACCTGGGCCAGGGCCTCACCACCTTCACGGTGAAGAATCTCGTGCTAGTATCTACTCTAAATCTACCCTCTTTCAGTTTAAAACCATTCCCCCTCGGCCTATCACTGCACTCTCTGTGCACAGTTCCTCCCCGTCTTTCCTGTAGGCCCCCTTTAAGTACTGGAAGGCTGCAACAAAGACTCCCTGGAACCTTCTCTTCTGCAGGCTGAACAGCCCAAACTGTCTCCACCTGTCCTTATACAGGAGCTGCTGCAGCCCCCTGATCATCTCTGTGGCCCTCCTGCTTTCTGTTTCCTTTGCCTCGCTTCCACTGTCTCCTTACCACAAATTTCCATGTGTTGAACAGTGTGGCTGGGTGCAGCTCAAACTCAGCCGTGGTGTGTCACTGTGGTTGTGTGCTGTGGCTGAACTCAGTCTGCTTACCTGGAAAACAGCACCCTGGCAGCCGCTCCTGAGCAACGCTTTGCTGAGGTGCCTGGGGACGTATGGCTTATGCTTGGCTGCTCTCTCTGCCCATTTTCTTACAGTGCAGAAATGGTCCTGGGCGAGCACCTTGCTTTGTTTCTGCCCAGTCCAGGTGCTCCAGGCCAGACTGGGGGAGGTGCACAGGAAGTCCTCTGGATATCAGACTTCCTCATGAGGACAGCCTGTGTGCCTCCCTGTCCTCTGCTAAAAGCCCATGGCCCAGATTAGCTGAGAAATGTTGGAGTACCAGTCTAGAAGCCACAGCTGGGATGCAACAGAAGCAGAAGTCTTGGTCTCTGTAGGCCAGGTGGCAGTTTTTACCAGGAGAAAATGACTTAGGAGCTGCTCAAAGCTCAGCCAACCTCTTCCCCTTGGGGCTACCTTTTTCTGTTTCCCATTCTGAAAGATACATCCCTTTATAACTGCTACTTCCACCCCTTTAGGGCCTAGTGTGGTGCAGGCACGAGACAACTGTTCTGCCAGCATACTCGTTTCATGCTGGCACTGGGGAAAGGACCCAAGTTCCATCTGGCTGTGAAGAGCTGGTCACAGCAACAGAACAGTTATTGCCCTGCTTCACACTGTGGCGATCAGGCGGAGGGATTCTCCACAGGGACCCCCAAACAGCCCCGATTTTGCGATTTGCTTCCCCTTACAGTCCCTCTTTCCAAGTTTCCTCTTTAGCAGATTCCTTCTATCGGCAATAAATCACAAGCCCCTGTTTTGTTTACCCCTTCCCATCAGCAAGGTGTTTTGTTGACTTTGTACCCAGGTTTGGTATTTATGATACGATACGCCCAAGTAATTTCCACCTGCACCATCAGTTCAGTCAAACTGATTTCCACCCCTCCATCTGCCTGATTTTGTCATTTTCCTGTTGTGTGCTTTTCATGCCCCAGGCTGGGCCGTTTGTATGTGCATTACTGCACTTTGGTCCTGCTCCTTCCCCCGCTCCTCATGCTGTGAGCTTGTTAGAGACAGGCAGGGATTAGCCACCAGTTTGCACACCATGACAAACCCATATCACTGTGCCTGCAGTGGTGTCTGCCCCATCCTCAAGGTACCTGCCCTGGACACCTTGTTCCAAGCAGCTGCCTGAGATGCAGCCTCTTGCCAAGCACGGGGTGCGACCAGGGTGTGGGAAGAGCAAATCCATGCCCTGGGTGGCTAGCAGGGCCTGTTGCTGAGCTGGGATCCAAGGGAAAAGAGATGGCTCTGATAGTTCTGCTCCCCTGTGGCAGCAGTCCCCTCGGGAGCATGGTGTTTGCATCATGCCCTTGGTCAACTGGCTGTTTCTCAGGAAGTACAGGTCACTGCTGAGATTGCTGCATGCAGTACACATTATACACTACAGGCAGTAAGTGAACATCATGGTGGATAACTTTATTTTGAAACAGCTCTTCAGAACAAAGTAAGTAGAACACAAACCCCTGCTGGTGCTTGGCATCCAGGAAGCCCAGTGAGACCGCCCCACCTTGGCTCAGTCAAGCTGCCCTTGGCTCCTGCCCTGCCAGGGGCAGCTCTCCTATGTCTGCACTGAAGAACAGGCTAGCATCTGCGCAAGCACTAGGCAGAATCTCTCGGGAAAGCTCCAGGCCAACCCC